CTTTCTCTGTGCATGTTCTTAGTGCCTTTGTCAAAGATAAGTTGGCAATTTATGCATTGGTTTAATTCTGGGTTCTCTATTTCTGTTCCATTGGTCTTTGTGTCTTTTTTTATGCCAGTCTCACACTGTTTTGACTACTATAGCTTTGTAATATAGTTTGAAATCCGGAAATGTAATACCTATAGCTTTGTTTTGCTTTTCTCAAGATTATTTTGGAAATTCAGGGTCTTTTGTGGTTTCTTATGAATTTTAAGATTGTTCTTTCTATATCTGTGACAAATGTCATTGGAATTTTGTTAGGGATTGAATTGAATCTGTAGATCACTTGGGGTAGTATGGACATTTTAACAACATTAATTTTTCCAAACCAAACACATAGGGTATCTCTCCATTTAATTGCGTCTTCTTCAATTTCTTTCATCAGTGTCTTACAGTTTTCAGTATACAAGTCTGTCTCCTCCTCAGTTAAATTTATTTCTAGGTACTGCAAACATGGACAATTTTATTTCTTCCTTTCTGACTTTGATCTCTTTTGTTTCTTTTTCTTGCCTTATTGCCGTGGCTAGGACTTTTAGCACTGTGTTGAAGATAAATGGCAAGAGTGGGCATCCTTGTTTTGCTCCTGATCTTAGAGGAAAAACTTTGAGCTTTTCACCATTGAGTGTGAAGTTAGCTGTGAGCTTGTCATATATTGCCTGTATTATATTGTCTATACCTAATTTGTTGAGAGTTTTTTTTTGTTTTTATCATGAAGGGGTTTTGGATTTTGTCAAATGCTTTTCCTGTCTCTATTGCGATGAGCACATGATTTTTATCTTTCATTCTGTTAACGTAGTGTTTCACGTTTATTGATTTGTATATGTTGAACCATCCTAACATTGCAAAGATAAATCCCACTTGATCATGGTGTATTATCCTTTTAATGTGATGTTTAATTTGGTTTCTACTATTTGTTAAGGATTTTGGCATCTGTATTCATCAGGGATATTGGCCTACAATATTCTTTTATTTTTATTGTCCTTGTCTTACTTCAATGTCAAGGTAATACTAGCCTTGTAAAATGAGTTTGGAAGTCTTCTTTTCTCTTAAATTTGTTGGAAGAGTTTGAGAATGACTGGCATTAATTCTTGTCTAAATGTTTGATAGAATTCTCCAGTGAAGCCACCTGGTCTTGCAGGTTTTTTTGTTGGGAGACTTTTGATTACTAATTCAATCTCCTTACTAGTTTTAAGTCTGTCCAGAGTTTCTGTTTCTTCCAATTCAGTCCTGGTAGATTGTATGTTCCTAGGAAAGTATCCATTTCTTCCAGGTTGTCCAGTATGCTGGTTTATGATTGTTTATACACTTTCTTATGATTCTTTGTATTTAGTTGTAATGTCCTCTCTTGCATTTATGATTTTCTTTATTTGAGTCTTTTTTTTTCTCAGTTCAATTAAAGGCTTGTCAATTTTGTTTATCTTTTCCAAAAAAAAAAAACCCTCTTAATTTCATTGATTTTTTTTCTATTATTTCTTCTATTTCAGTTATTTCTTCTCTGATGTTTATTTTCTTCCTTCTAATTTTGGGCTTAGTTTGTTCTTCTTCTTCTAGTTCCTTGAGGTGTATAGTTAAGTCATTTATTTGAACTCTTTTTTCTTAATGTAGGCATTTATTGCTATAAACTTCCCTCTTAGAATTGCTTTTGCTGCATCTCATAAATTTTGGTATGTTGTGTTTCTATTTTCATTTGTTTCACGATACTTTTTGATTTCCTTTTGATTTCATCTTTAACCCATTGATTGTTCAGGATTATATTTGTGAATTTTCCAGCTCTCCTACTTCTAATTTCATACTGTTGTGGGCAGAAAAAATACTTGATATGATTTCAATCTTAAATTTGTTAAAACTTGTTTTGTGACCTAACATGTGATTTATCCTGGAGAATGTTCCATGTGTGCTTGAGGAGAATGTGTGCTCTGCTGCTGTTGAATAGAATGCACTGTGTGTATGCTTAGGTCCAGTTAGCCTAAAGTGTAGCTCAAGTCCAACATTTCCTTAATGATTTTTTGTCTGGATGATCTATCCAATGTTAAATTGGGTACTTAAGTCCCCTGGAATTATTGTGCTGCTGTCTATTTCTCCTCTCCTGTCTATTAATATTTGCTTAATATAGTTAAGTGTCTTAATGCTGGGTGCATATAGATTTAGAATTGTTATATCCTTTTGATGAAGTGACCCCTTTATCATTATATAGTGACTTTCTCCTTTGTCTCGTTACATTTTTCAACTTAGTCTGTTTCACCTGATTTTATATATACATATAATATATTTTATATATATATATATTTACCCCTGCTTTCTTTTCATTTCCATTTGTGTGGAATACCTTTTGTCATCCCTTCACTTTTACTTCATGTGTATCTTTAAAGCTAAAATAAGACTCTTATAGGCATCATAATTGGGTCTTGTTTTTTTATTCATTTAGCCACTCTATATCTTTAGATTAGAGAATGTAATCAGTTTATACTTAAAGTAATTATTGATAGATGAGGACTTATTTTTGCCATCTTGTTTTCTTTCTGTTTTGTAGTTTCTTTCTTCCTCTCATGCTATCTTCCTTTATCACTTCATGATTTTTCATAGTGGTATGCTTTGATTCCTCTATCTTCTGTGTATCTACTATAGGTTTTTACTTTGTGGTTATCATGAGGCTTACATAATACATCTTATAGTTTTGAGTCTATTTTAAGCTGATAACAACTTAACTTCAATTGCATATAAAAATTCTGCCTTTTTACTTCCCTTGTCCCCATTTTATGCTTTTGATGTCACAATGTGGATCTTCTTATATTGTGTATCCATTAATAAATTACTGTAGCTATATTTACTTTTTAATGCTTTGGTCTTTTTGTCTTTATACTAGAGTTAGGTGATTTACACACCACTACTACAGTATTAGCGTATTCTGAATTTGTGTAGTTACTTTTACTAGCAAGTTTTGTACTTTCATGTGTGTTCATGTTACTAATTAGCATTCTTTCGTTTCAGCTTGAAGGACTCCCTTTAGCATTTCTTATAAGGCAGGTCTAGTGATGATGAACTCCCTCAGCTTTTGTTTGTCTGGGAAAGTCTTTCTCACCTTCATCTGAAGGACAGCTTTGCTAGGTAAAGTATTCTTAGGTGGCAGATTTTTTATTTGAGCACTGGGCCACTCTCTCCTGGCCTCCAAGGTTTCTGTTGAGAAATCTGCTGATAGCCTTACAGGGGTTTCCTTATATGAGATGATTTGCGTTTTCAAAGTTCAGTTTTTGTCTTTGATTTTGACAGTTTTATTATAATGTATCTAGTGAATTTGGGAAAGGTCACGTATGAGCCTCCTCTACTTGGATGTCCATATCTCTCCCCAGAGTTAGCAAGTTTTCAGCCATTGTTCCCTAAATAAGATTTCTACCCTGTTATTTATATGTTTATTCATGGGCATTTTAATCTGAACACTCAAATCTTTCTTTAGCTCAGGGGGTAGTTATTCTCTTTTTTTTTTGCTTTAGCCTCTCTTTTTTGAACATATATTATTGCTTTTATCATATCTTTTATTTCTTTTTTTCTTATGTTCTCAGAGAATTCTATGATTGGGTCTTCAAAATGACCAATTTCAGCTGTGTAAATTCTGCTATTCAACCTTCTTCTAAGGTTTTAAATTAGGCAAATATGTTTTTTCATAATTTCTGAAAGCTCTTTTTTACTGCAGCTTGTTTTAATTGAATGGATGCAGAATCCTCTTAGACTTCTGTGAAAATAATAATTGGAATTTTCATTTAATACTATCTATTATTCCTTATATTAACTCTTTCTCGAGTGTTCAGTTCATTTGCTCATTTATCTTGATGTTTTTCTTTCATCCTATTTGTGTCTCATGATTTGGTTGTATATTGATATTCTAAATTAGTTACTAGATTTATTTGTATCCATACTTATTGTTGGGGTCATTGGTGATTATAATACTTACCTACCAGGCCTCTCCCTTCATGCAGTAGCTCACTATAGGAGTCTGTTGTGACTGGCAGATTTCAGGACTTGTGGGAACCCGTCCATTCACCCCCACCTCCACCCTTGACTGCATAAACTCAGGAAGGACTTGCAAGGTTGGAAAAATAATTTGGTGATTTCACTGCTATTCTAAGAGGCCTTCCCTCCACTACTCTTCTTAAAAAATCTCTGGATCTGTGAGTGCCCCTGAACTTCCTTATACTTCTTACTTTCTTATTTATACTGTCTTACTTCTCTCTCCAACCCCAAAATCCATATGAGAAGGCCTCTCATCCTGCAAAGACTGAAATATTCAGTCTTTACAATGGGCAATAAAATAAGCAGTCTTGTATCTCTTGTCTGGATCTAGCATAAACTCTATGAGGATAAGAACAGTATCTATTCTGTTCACACTGTGCTCACTGCACAGTGCCTGGAACACAGTAGGTGTGCCATAAAAATTTAGTAAATTTTTAGACATAAATATTTAGAAAATTTGTTAGACAACTTTTGTGAAACTAAAAATATTTGTAAGCTTTACCTAGTAACTTTTATTCTAGAAATATATCCTAAGGAAATACTCAGAGATGCTCACAGAGTTTTAAGTACAAGGATGTTCATGTTAGTAATTGTGAAAAATAAAAACAACTCAAAAGTCACAGCAGTGCTTATATAAAGCATTATATATTCTGTATATGGTTGAATATTTAATAGATATTCTTTTTATTCATTTATCTCTCCAGAGATACAGTTTTCAGCAATCAGTAAAACCCATTTTATCTTAACCAAAGAACAGCATTTTGATATACTTTAAATAGAATGACTATAAATCATGCCTTTTAAATTGCCATAATTTTTAGTAATATTATCTGATAGCTTTATTTATTTATATATTTATTTATTTAAAATATAAGAACAAATAAATGGAAGTTCATTTTGATGTAATCATAGTATAATGGACAGTCAGTAAATAGAGAATATTTTTTTTTTTCCAGAAAACATCTCCTTGAACGTGGTGAGGTAAAACTTCCTTTTTAATCTCTGCTAGATTTGTGTATTATATTTTAGTTCAAGGATAATTCACAAAGGTATAATTCTGCTGTTGATACACCAACATCAGTGCTTAAGTGCTTCAGCACTGGTAATAAATTTCTGCTCATCCTTCCCACTTTTTAATCTGCTCTCAGTTTTGAACAGTAGTAAGGACTTGACAGCCAGAAGGCTGATTTATGACCACAGAGTATAATTAAATTAAATTACCTTCCTTCATTCATTCAACAATAACAAACATTAATTTCTAACCTGCTGAGCTAATCAGCTACAAGCCATCAGAGTAGGTACCCGTGGCCCTGTGACTGGTGGGTTTTTGCCACACACAGACCTGATGGTCAACCAGTTACAAGCTTAGCTGTGTTACAGGATACAACAGATGGTATAGCGATGTTCCTGCCCTCAGAAATGTCTAATTTTTCAATGGAGAGCAAAACAACATAGCCTTTCTTATGGTGCTAAATTATTTTGTGACATACAAGAGAAAGACCATCATGGGCTAGAAATACAATTTCCTAAATAATAGAACTTTGAGTCTTAAGTGGCAGGTCAAATTTACAAGAGAGGACAACTGAATTTGAACTTAATAGGAATAGCTTATGATGATAACTAATATTTTTTAAATAGTTATTATGTGCCATGTACTGTACTGTTTTGATTCTCATAATAATATTATTCCCACTTTGCAAATAAGAAAATTATGTTAATTAAATGATATTAGATGTTACAGAGATAAACACTAACATTGAAATGACTTAAATCAGTAGAAATTTAATTCTTTGCTCACATAAGGTTAAAACCGGAGTTCCTGATTAGCAGGTAGTTCTCCAACAAGCAGTATTTGAGGGACCCAGACTCCTTCCATCTATGGCTCTGCCATCTTCAATATGTGGTGTTCAGGCTTGATGTGTACAAGGCAGCAAAGGAGAAAGAACATGGAAGATTGTGCACTGGAGGCTTTGTAAGGCTGGAAAAGATAGATGCACATCACTTCCTTCTCACAGCCAGAACTCAGGCACATGGCCACACCTGACTGCCAGGGAGGCTGGGAAATGGAGTCTTGCTGTGTGTTTAGGAAAGAGAGCAAAGGGATCTCTGCCAAGGACTAGAGACCTAGAGAAATTAAGTAGTTTACCTAAAGTCTCACAGCTAATTTGCAGTAAATCTTGCATTTAACCACTAGCAATCCATTTCCAGTGCTCTCAGAGGAGTAGTCAGCACTTACTGCTTCCTATGTGCAGGGCATTTTGGGGGAAGTTATTTGATAATTTCATTCTCACAGCAACCCATTGATGGTAAGTACTATTATTTTTTTATTTTACAGATGAAAAAAACTGTGGCATAGAGAGGTTAAGTATTGATAACTTGCCTAAGGTCACAAAGCTAAAGTGGCCTTAGCTTTGTAGAGCCAAGGACTATGAACCCAGGCAGTGTAGCAGCAAAATCCATGCTGTTGGCCATTCACTCTGATACCACCTAATGTGAACTGCGTTTATGTAAATTAGGCATGTCACATTATCCAGCTTTACTTACTAGTACACATTCGTACTTCATATTTTATCATACAATATTTAAAACCCACCTCTTTTTAGAAATATAATATTCCTTAAGTTTCTGCCTCTCTTTCTCACATAGTTTGCTACCTTCTCATTTTCTTTCATTTCTCCATTTGTCCTTGTTTTGCCCATTTTTCTTTTTTCTATTAATTCTGCATACTTATCAGTTCAGTCTTTATTATGTGCCTACTATACACCAGGTTTCTGCTTTTATGGAATTTAAGGTATAGTAGAGGGAAAAAAATGTGACCACATAATTATATGTGCAATGACAAAGGAAGATACAAAAGTAGTACAGAAGAAGAAGTGATTAAATCTGTGTTTGGAAGGGATGGGGTAGTTAGGGAAAGGCTTTTCAGATGACTATAGAGGAAGAGTTTACCAGAGTCAAAGGATGCACATGTGCAAAGAAGACAGAAGGTAATAAATTTATCCAGAGCTACAGGCAAATCAGTGTTGCTGTTGCATAAAAAAGACAAGATGGGAAAAGAAAGCAGCGTTCAGACTATGATGCCTTTGTATGCAAAGCAGCTGGACTTCATTCTGGACTTTGTTGTTAAGTTGGAGATGGTATGGTCAGATCTTTAAGTCTGTTGGCAGTAAAGAAGATGGCTTTTTAAAAGGCAGTAAGAAAGTCAAGCTGACCGAAAAAAGGACAGTGATAGCAAATCTCTTAATTTTTTCAAACTAAAGAGGGTATGCTAAACTCCTGATGTATAGGCAGATTAGAGATTTGAATTTCTAAAAATAGTAGGTCTTATGGAAGGAGATGATAGATTTCTGGGCAGTAGCAATGAAGTGGCTCCTAATCCCACTTCCACTTGTGACTCACACTGATAAATATCTGTTTGGTTTGGGATGGGACTGTTTTCACCTTAGGGATGATAGGGTGTGAGAGGCACAAACCCTGATTCACTCTGAATGTGATATGATAGCAAAAGATTGTACATTCCAGCTTGTTTCAAAAATAGGTGAGGATCCCTTAGGATAATTTTTTCACTGGGGGTAAGTTCTAAATTCCTTGCTTTGTGCTAACCCTCTGAATCAGGGATAGTCTGCAAACCTCAACTCACTAAATTAACCCCTACTGGTATGACATTGATTATTAAAGTTTGTTAGATTAATGGATACTGTTGTGATTTTTCCTCATAATTTAATGTATTTGTGTTTTATTTATTACATCAGATTTGTTTCTTTTAGCCAACTTTTCTATGTTATGGGCTTAGAAATTAGTGAAGGAGTACCTAGTAATTCACAGGGAAGAAAAGAAAGGAAAGAGATTTAGGAAAAATATTTAGTCCCAGAATGTCCTAATACTATGAAGAACTGGTGAGAAGATTGGCTAGGGAGAGAGAACATTCAGAGTATTCACTCCTGAATATTCTTTTGACCCACTCATATCTCATTTTGTCCATGACAGAAAGTCCTGCATCAGCCTTCACTTTTTTCTAATCCCTATTTTATTATATTATGTGATTAGTTTATATTAGATCCTTTATATTTGAAGTCTGTTTAGTTTGTGTTTTCTATTATAAACAAGGTTTTTCTATTACTTACAGCCAAAGAGCTTTCTGTGACATACAGCTGAAGGCATCTGAACTTATATAGAGCTATTCAGTTGAAGAAGTGAAATGATACGGAATTTGGGGGAAGAATTACTTCTTTTGAGAAACTGATATTGAGTGACATATTTTGGGAATCTGTACACTTCTGTATTCACAGACTAATAGAACTATGTTGTTGAATAGTTTATTGTTTGGAGAGAAAGTATAGGGTAGTAGTTAAAGACAATGACTCAGAAGCTAGACTGGACTCAGATCTTTGTTCTTCCACTTACTCAGCATGTGATATTGGCTAAGTTATTTTACATCTTTTGGGGAACAACAAAAACAACAACAATCATAATAGTACTTATCTTCATATGGTTGCTATGGGATTATATGAGTTACATGTAAGGTCCTTAACAATAATGCCTAGTCTAAGTTAAGCATTGTGTAAATATCCACTTTTACAGTTAGTGTGCCTTCTGGATCAAAATTTCAGATCTAATATTCTGCTCCCTGTTAACTGTGCCAGTGAAGGGCATCTCTTTAGCATGTTCTCAAGATATCTTCACACTGTCATGTGAGGTAGTTTTGACAGGAACAACTTGCTATTTGGACTGGCTTTATAGTTAGTCCTTGCTTTCTTTCTGCTCGGTAGCTGCTACCTCACATTTTACCCAGTTGGGCTCACTTATTCCAAAGATTAGTAATAAACAGTTCCCTGAGCTTCTCTTCCTTCCTTCCAGCCTCTAAAAAATGTTGTGAGAATTTTCCTAGTAATTTTTATATGGCAAGAGGTACCAGATTGACAATGGCATACATACAATAGTGATTTTTGTACTATACATTTTGACTGTAGCCTTCTGTCCTCCACTTGGTAGTTAAAAAGAAGGCTGTCTTATAGAATGGAAGATAAAATAACTATGGCAAAAGAGCTTTATGGAAAGTCGTAGCCTGGGAGTAAGTGAATGCTTAGGAGCATTTGGGTGAGAATAGAAAACAAACGTAAGTGATGCCATTTGGGATAGCTGTTCTGTGTCATCCAGCCACAAAAAGCATCATTCAGGGAAGACAAGGTAGTGGTGGGGATCTTTCAAGTCTCCATATGAAAACAGTCCTTCCTGCAGCCTTTAGATGATAGAGGAAAGTCAAGGAGTATTACTACCTTGGATTTGATTTTGGTCATCTGAGAAATTGTTGCTAAAGTAGAAGTAACAGAAGTTAGGAGAGGAAATGATAGTGTCATCCTGTGGCTCAAAATAACCAAAGGAAGGAATACTGGGAGAATTCAGATGTGTATTTGTATCGATTATCCGTTATCTATTATGGTCTGTTTCTAGATGCCACATTTTAAGAAGATGATGGACAATCTGTACCACATTCAGAGCAGGGCAACCAGAATTATGACAACACACAACTAATAATTGAATTTTTCTGAATATTTACTCTAAAGATAGAAAGCTTTCTAAGGTTGAAGGTGGGAATAATGCAAAGTCATAATTACAGTATTTAGATAATCGAGAACTGTCATGCACAAATGGGTTTAGACCGATTTTGTGCAGTTCCAGAGGTGTGGAAGTTGCAGGAAAACATTAGTTCAGTTTTAGAAAAGATTTTCTAACATATACAGCTATCCGTCTTTGTAATAGGTACTCCTATGGCATATTCCTTTTCAGGAAATAGTGAATATTCAGTTGATAGATTTATAGAAGTGATCCCTGTTTTGGATAGATGATTAAAGTAGATGGCTCACATAACCTATCAATCTGTGATTTAGCGGTCCTAAACAAAAGGACCTATTTGAGGATGAAGTGTGTTGATGTCTTTTCTTCTCTCCAAAACATGTTCCTAATTTTGTCCAAAGGTGAGTTTGACTAAAGAAAAATGAAGGATTGATTTTGAAATAAATGTTCCACATTCCAACTCTGGGTTCAAGACTTATTTTAAAAATTAACAGATTTTCCATTTCAAATATCATTTAGAAAAAGAAAAAAGATAACTTTAGGTACAGTTTTTGCCATTCTGTTTTAAATATAAATTATATATTTCTGATTATAAGAATAGCACGTGTCTTTAAAATTTGAAAAATGCAGGAAAATCACCATTCAGAAATAATTTCTGTTAACTTTTTAGGTATATTCTCTTACAGCCTTTTCCCCCTGTGCATGTATATACACACATAGATGGTTTTCATAGAATTAATATTATTATAGTATAGAGTTTTATATTCTGAAAACTTTTCCATGCCATTAAATAATTTTCCAGTAGGTAATCTTTTAATGGTTGTATACATGTGAAAATGCAATAATTTACTTAGTCCTCTATATTGGTCACTTAGGTTGTTTCTGTTTTTGCTGTGAAAAATTCATTTCAGCGATCATCTTTGTAGAAGCATTTTTGTGTTTTGATTATTCTCTTAAGTTAAATTCCTAGAACCAAAATTTTAGTCAAAGGAGTTGGCTCTTTTCTAGGGTCTTGATAAATATTACTAAATTACAGAAATATACCAGTTATTTCGGTGTGTTTCATGGCATACTCTCTAACACTCTATTAATTTAATATTTGTCAATTTTATAGGTGAAAATATTATCTTTACTATTTAATTTGTTTGAATATTAGTGAATTAGAACATGAATATTTAGTTGTGCTTACTTTTGGTTGTATTAATTCTTTGTCCATTTTTCTAGTGAGGAGTTTGTTGATATTTTATGAATATGTCTGTTAGAAAAGTTTTGTTTGAAACCTTTGCTCAGAGGAACCCCATCTTAAAATGGGGTGTCCTACTAATTAGTACAAGTATTTATACAATTCCACTACTTCTAAAATAATCTAGTTTGTGTTATGATTTTTGTTGCTGACTAAATGACACAAATTTGTGAAGCATCCCATATTTTTATGTCTCTGTGACTCCCTTTCTCACCTGGTGTAGGTCCTTGCTCAAATGCCACCTCTTTGAAGAGGCCCACTCTGATGATCCTAATTACACTTGCAACTTCTCCTGCCTGTGGTCTCACACCACACCCTGCACTTCAGTCTCCTTTCCTGGCTCTGCTTCCCTTTCCATTGCACTTACCACTTTCTGATAGACTGTATGATAGATTTTGTTATTTGCTATGTCTATTTATTTTGTCTCTCCTTAGTAAATGTACTAAAATGTGAGCCTCATAGGACAGGAATTGCTCAGTGTTGTTTTGTTCACTACTATATCCAAAGCACCCAGAACAGTACCTGGCATATAGCAGGCATTTGATAAATCTTTGTTGAATGAATGAATAAATATTAATAGACTTATTAATAACTTAAAAGATCCTTGTCCTAGTGAATAATAGTTTTAATATACTTTATTTTACATATATTAATTAAAAATATATAAACTGAAAATGTAATTTTGTTTTGTGTTTTTATAGCTAATTTTTCACATATTGCAGTTGTTTGCATTTGCTTCCCTTGCCATTTTAATTATGAGGCTGAAGCTCTTTTTGACACCTCACATGTGTGTTATGGCTTCCTTGATATGCTCTCGGCGGGTAAGGTATTCATTCTTGTATAACTACACTATAACACTACAGCAACTACGGTGTAGTTACCATGGCTTTGCTGAGTAATCCAAAACATAAAAACACTAGGTGTTTTTAATCTTAAATGATTTAAAATGTTAGTTCATGATTCATTATAGAGTAAGAAAAGTAAATTCAGGTAGCTTTGAAAATTATTCCTAGATTTTAGCTGATAATTCTATGACTTTTCCCTCTATTAGTATCCTCTCCACAAATATAGTTTTTTGAAGTTCAGGTCAGTGTAAGAGATTCTTGGCCTGTCAAAACTATCCTCAAGTGCTCTTGTAATACTAGAGAAGATGCAGCGTAATTGCTCTAGTGTTGTCTTGTTGGCCTTGGATAATTCGTGGGGGAAAATTGTCAATTCTGGGGTTCTGTTACTGTATGCAAAAGAGCTAGACAAAGTAGCTAGAATTTTGGGACCAAGTTACTTCTAGAGACACCTTATTTAGTTTTGATTGTAAGTGTCTTGCCTTAGAATATCATAATGCTTATATTCCTGAGAGGAATATACTTGTCAGTACTAATGAGGTTTCCCTAGTTATTCAAGATGTCCATAAAAGGCAGCCAGATGTTATGGATTTAGTTCCAGGATGTTTCAGAATTGTGATTTGCTAATCTTAATTCCTGGTAGTAAATCAGTACCAGAAGGATCAGGTATTCCTTCTTTATTTCTTTTAAGAGGAAAGAAAGCTCCTTTTTTTTTTTTTTTTTTTTTTTGCGGTTCGCGGGCCTCTCACTGTTGTGGCCTCTCCTGTTGCAGAGCAGAGGCTCCGGACGCGCAGGCTCAGCGGCCATGGCTCACGGGCCCAGCCGCTCTGTGGCATGTGGGATCTTCCCGGACTGGGGCACGAACCCGTGTCCCCTGCATCGGCAGGCGGACTCCCAACCACTGTGCCACCAGGGAAGCCCAGAAAGCTCCATTTTTAACTGGACTCCAATTCCAAAATATTTGCTGTTTTTAAACAATAGGTGATGATTATTATATTCTGTATATTGTTAGTATCAAATGGTAATCCACCTTGGTTTAGGTAGAAAGGTGGTAATTTATTATTGACCCAATAGCCCCCTTCATATAAGAATTATAAATAATTGGTTTCTTTCATTTCAGCTCTTTGGCTGGCTTTTTCGGAGAGTTCGTTTTGAGAATGTTATCTTTGGCATTCTAACAGTGATGTCAATACAAGGTTGTGCAAACCTCCATAATCAATGGAACATAATAGGAGAATTTAATAATTTGCCCCAGGAAGAACTGATACAGTGGATCAAACACAATACCAGACCGGGTATGTAGCTGTTTGGTTATACGTATAGCTAGCACACACTCACGCACACACATTATTATTATATGTTATTATACACTTGCATATATTGTACAGTTATCATTTCATATATATGTGTATGTGTGTATATATATAAAAATTTAAAATACATACGCATTCATACCTTCACAGATTTTGAGCCTGGTAATTGCAGTGTTCACCAAATCAAACCTTTTTAAAAGGTGGTTTTGTGTCATCTTTAAACCCCTCCTAGGTACCTGTCGAAAAGAATTTTAACTGACTTTAAGAGTTATTGATTGTTCACAAGTTATGTGCTATAACTCTGAGATTATTGTATTTTAGCCATAACAGTGACACCTCAAAGAAAAAAAAAAACCTTTAATGACAACTTTCACACCTTGTGACAGGCCACTGGAGAAGATAGTTTTGACTGTGGGGAGGTTAACAATACCCCTCCCATCACTTCCATTCAGTGCCTACTCTCTGCTCCATGTCTGTAAAACCAGTCACATGGAGAAGAGTTAAAATCTTGGATATTCTGTTTTCTTCACTAATTCATCTCAAAAAGATTAGTATATATGCTATTTTTAAATACTTTAAAATATTCTTTTAGCTTATCTTCTTTTCTTGCTATCTTTATCCAAAACCACCTCAAGCAGATTGGTATTTATTTCACTTTTAAATACCTTTCCAGAGGATAAATATATTGTACATTATTTTCTGTAAGTAACCTATAGTCTTGTCCTAGACAATTTTTGACGTTTCATAATTTTTTTCTGGCACAAGTTCTTCACTATGGTTTATTTAAATTTATCCTGTGACTCCTTGAGCCAGTTTCTTCTTATCTCTTATTTGGTAGTCATCATTTTACTAACTAGCTATCATTAAGGTAAACTCTTATGAACTTCAACTCAGATATTTGGCCTATGGCTTTCAAAGGGTGTAGGTGACAGTGCCTCATCACTTAGAGCTTCCAGGTTAGTTTAATCAGAATTTTTGAATTAACACTTTACTGACTTTTTCCCTGTAGTACAATAGTACAAGATAGCTAGTCCCTTTACTCTCCCTTACCCCTCCCCACTTACAGCTGTTTTTCCAAAGCTTTAAAAGATACCTGCTCTTTTCATGTTTGCTTGCGTCTTTCTTTGTTCCAGTGTTTGTCTTGGGTTCTTGGCAGAGAGAGCCTATGTTTGGCAACTTACCCTTCTGAGATAACTCTCACAAACTCCTACCTCATTTTTGCCTCTTCTTTGATCTTACCAATCTTTCTCATCGCTGTATTATGAGTTCTGTCATGGTTACCACATGGTTTATTAAATTCTATAGTAAAGGTGGAACTAGAGCTTACATTCAGGTCTACCATGTAAGGTTGTATAGTTTGTACACAGCACAAAGGTGCTCAGTTGGGAGGACAAGTGGGAACTGATATCCAGCCTGTGGTCCACTTACCAAGTCATGTATGTATTAGTGAGTCTCTGTCAAGTCAAAGGGATAGTTTTTTTCTAATACATGCGGTAAGCTAAGTGGAGATTTAAATATATTATAGAAAAGATCCTATTGTTTCCCTGTCACACTCATGTTTACTTTGCCCCCAAGAGGAAAGAAGCATTTGGGGAGTATTCTCCCCTTCTCTCTGTTTCATAGATGGTTGCTTCTCAGTGGTTCCAGTTCTTGCTGGACAGGCTTACCTAGTTTCTTCTGGATGACCCTGGCCCTGAGCTTTGGGTCCTTCTAGCCCAGAGTTTCTCAAGCTTGGCACTGTTGATATTTGGGGCTACCCTGTGCATTGGCAGCATATTGAGCAGCATTCCTTCCTTCTACCCGTAGATGTCAGTAGCCCCTCTCCGCCCACAGTGTGCTAACCAGAAATATCTCCAGAAGTTGTCAGTGTCTCTAGGAAACAAAATCACTTCTGGTTGAGAACCACTGCTCTAGCCTAAGAGCTTTTCAGCATTAATTATTGAATCTTACTATAATAAATACACGTCTACTTCAATTTATTTATGTATTTTCAAATTTAACGCATATAAAGAGATATTCATGCAAAGTTATATTTATTTACTTATTTATTTTTAAATAAATGTATCCATTTATTTATTTATTTTTGGCTGCATTGGGTCTTTGTTGCTGCACGTGGGCTTTTTCTAGTTGCAGTGAGCAGGGGCTACTCTTCGTTGCAGTGCGCAGGCTTCTCATTGCAGTGGCTTCTGTTGTTGCGGAGCATGGGCTCTAGGCGCGTGGGCTTCAGCAGCTGTGGCTCACAGGCTCTAGAGCGCAGGCTCAGCAGCCGTGGCGCACGGGCTTAGTTACTCTGTGGCATGTGGGATCTTCCCGGACCAGGGCTCGAACCCATGTCCCCCGCATTGGCAGGCAGACTCCTAACCACTGCACCACCAGGGAAGTCTCCAGAGTTACATTTAGAATGCTTAATTACATTTGAAAGTAAACATTCAATTATTTACAGTAGATCTGAATAATATGCCTTGTTCTTATTAGTGATTTTACTGTGCTGATTAAAAATGACGATAACCTTGCTAATCATGTAATCATTTATTGTACACGAGTGCCAGGAAGTAAGCATTTGGTCTTTTTGTCTCCCAAGAGACAGAACTAAAACTGAAGCCAGACAGTAGATTTTGGTGTAAGACTAGTTATAACCAAAAGGCAATACATTTATACAAGCTATTACTTCAGAAAGTACTACTAACAAGTAATGAAATGGTTTGATGAAATGTATACATTTATAAAGTCAAACAGAAACTAAGAAAACTTAGTTATGAATATTTAAAGGTGATCTGAGGGAAGAAAACAATGCTTTCATCTGGCAAGTTCTCAAGATTACAGTTCACAACCCACAAAAGTCACTTTAAAACATGTACCATAAGACTTGCCCTTTATAATAGTCTCCCAGTTCCTAGAACTTTAAACTATTGGAACAAGATATCAAATTTTACAATTCTTTCCAGTCCTGTGTGTCTTTGTAGTGCTGTCTTTTAGTATAGCGCTTGAACGTGGTAGTATGCTGTAGTGAAGTGGCTAAGAGGGTAGGCCCTGATACTTTCTAGCTGTGCAGTCTTGGGCAAGTCACTTAACTTTGCTGTGTCTCAGCTTCCTGATCTACAAAATAAGAATACATAGAACCCACCTCAAAGCTGTGCAAATTAAATTCTATAATCCTAGTAAAAGTATTTAGCAGTTCCTGGCACCAAGATAACATTTAATGAAAGTTGGCTATTGTGTAGACCATCAGTAAATATTAAGCGAAGAAAAAGAATGCTGCCAATGATTATTATTTAAATGTACTTCATCTTTCTTAATCTGGGTTCAAATATTACAGATAGGTAACTTTTGGTTTTCTTTAAAACATGTTGTTAAGGAATATAATCTTGTTTTCCAGATGCTGTTTTCGCTGGTGCCATGCCTACAATGGCAAGTGTCAAGCTCTCCACTCTTCACCCCATTGTGAATCACCCACATTATGAGGATGCAGACTTGAGGTGGGCAACTGATAGAATACTTCAACCAGACACACTAACGACTTCTCCTGACTCATAGGAATAGGGAAATTTTTATACACACATGCACACACACACACACACATTCACTCTTATCCTCATATTTGTGCTAGAAGTTAAAGAATAATAACCATTCAGAAATTACAATACGTACCTGTTGACTTAAAGTAACCTTAATAAACCTCTGAAAATTGAAAGAAGCAACACCCAGTTTTTCTCAAAGTGAAAAATATGTCACATTTATGACTAGCCTCTGTGTGTTTATGTGGGTGTGTGTTCCAGTGAAACTCCTAAGTAACAGTAATAAGAGTGGGGATAGATTTGGCTCATGGCCATAGTTTGCCAACCCCTGTTCTAGATTCCACAGCCCCTCTGCCTGGTTTAAGAAACCATTCTTCATCTTACTCGTGGCCAATGATTAGCCTTTTTTAACAGATAGAAAAGGTACATGAAATTTGCTATATTAAATGCTTTTATGAAACTTTGGGGTGCTCTTTTCCTAGCTGATTATGGGAACTCTAGCTTCCACTGAGGTCTGAAAGTTTTGTTTTCCTTAAATGACTGACTTTTAAAAATTATTTTAATCATTCTAGTAATTGGGTAATCATTTCCTTTTAATGTATTTTTGGCTTATTGTTAGAGGTAATATTTTAAATTATTTAAAGTTTTATGTTTGGTTGTGGAGATTGGGCATTCTGTATGCTTGAAATCCTAAGAAAAGTCTAATGCATAATTGATAATTTGTTCAGGATTTTATAAAAAACCCCCATTTAGGGCTAAACCATCTGTTGTACCATATTTTGGTAAGCATCCCTGTCTCTCAAGCTTCTGTTAAGTTGCTTTCTCTACATGACTACTACCCTAGATGCCCACTGTCTAATTGTTCTATTTGCTACATTCAGCTTCAACTCATATGCTTTTCAGAGTTTCTATGAATGAAATTATCTACTGAAATCTATATTTTCACTATATTTAGCCTCTATCTGAATTTGTTCCAGATTAATTATTTTATGAATTATGCAAAGCAAATTTTATATTCTGAACTATTATACTGCTACCTACCTCTAGACTCTAAACTGGTTTATACACTAATAAGCAGTACCTGCAAAAATCAAATTGCTGTAAGTTTAAGCACATGCAAAATATAAATAGAAATGTGGCAATTGCTATTCCCAAAATAATTCATGCTATTTGGGGTCATATATAATCAATGCTCCATCCAGTAAGCATTGAGGTTTTAATTTGGTAACACATCTATTATCATTTATTTAAAATTTTTTTAACTTGTTTGAATTTAAAGAGCTCGGACAAAAATAGTTTATTCTGCATATAGTCGAAAATCTGCAAAAGAAGTGAGAGATAAGTTGGTGGAGTTACATGTGAATTACTACATTTTAGAAGAGGCGTGGTGTGTTGTAAGAACTAAGTGAGTATGAGCCCTGTGGTATATGATATGGTATATTTTAAAACAACAAATGTTTTACTTTATTACAGCAGCCCTGATTCTTTAAAAATTTTTATTTTAAATTAATTCCATTAAATTGTTGCCCTGGTATTTTATTTAAAATTATTTCATTTAGGAAATTAAAATTATACTATTGTTTAAGCATAATGTAATTTTTTTAAAAGTATAGTATATTTTGCTATCCTAATTTCTTCATTTTAATTTAACATCTTAAATGTAGCTTTTTTCCATAATCTTCAAATTTTTATAACTTTTATTAGATGTCTGAAATACAGATTTGAATTTACAACCAAGTGAGATATTAGCATTCTGCTACTACAGCTGATTTACCTTGGATTTATAAGACTCATAAGAAAAGTTTGACGTAACTCAAAAGGACGTAATAAGAAAACGTTTCTAATTAACATTTTTTCATTTCTAAATTTTGAATCTCTAATAATACATAAAATTCTAAGATGTGTAATGGATATCTTGAGACCTTTGTTTAGTCTCCTTGATTTAAGAAGTCCTTAGTTATATTGATTTTAGCATTAAGAATTTTCATTTCTCCTATGGATAATTAAGAATTGGCTATAACAGATTTTGAAGAGCTAAGTTCGTAAATTTTAGTAGCTAATTTTTGTATCTAATTTTAAGATCTAATAAATATGTATAGGAAGAAATGGCATCTTGCAAAAGAAGAAACAGAAATATCGTAATGTATATGCTTATCATATTAATTTAATTCAAAGCTTAAGACAAAACATACTTCAAAACAGGGCATACTGTCACAAATAAAGGTGGACATTTTATGATGACAAAAGGATTAATTCATCAAAAATATCTAACAGTTTTAAATATGCATACCTCTAAACAGAGCTTCAAAGCACAAAAAATAAAAATGTGTAGAACTAAAAGAAAAAATAAGCAAGGCTTTAATTATAGTTGGAAAAGTTAACGTTTTTTTCCCCTACTAGGAAAAGTAGATAAAAAGTCAGTAAGCATATAAAAGAGATGAACAACAAATAGTATCAAATAACCTGACCCAACTGACATTTATTGAACACTACAGGAAACAGCTGCAGAATACACATTCTTTTAAAGGGCATGTGGAATGTCCACCAAGAGAGAACATATGCTGGGCTGTAAAATTGTCTCAGTATGTTTAAAAGGTTTTAAATCATACAGAATTAAAATAGAAAACAATAATAAACAGAAAATAGAAAAAAATAATAAACAGTAAATCCATGCATATTTGGAAATTAGGCAGTAAACTTACGGGTAATTTATGGGTCAAAGGAAAAAAACCACAAAGAAAATTTTAAAACACTATTTTTTACTTGAATGGAAAAAGGGGTCTTTTAACAATATTGCTGATCTAACTGGATATAATGTACAGAAAAAAATTAAACCATGACCCATACTACACCATATACAAAAATTAACTTTATGTGGATTATAGAACTAAATGTAAGAGCTAAAATTGTAAAGATTTCTTAGAACACAGAGTACTAACGATTTAAAAAATCAATAAATTGTATATATCAAAATTGAAATATTTTCACCAAAAAGACATTAGGAAAATGATAAGGCAAGCCACAGACAAGAAGAAAATATTTGAAAGCATATATCTGATAAAGGACTTATAAATATAGTTCATATAAAGAAATTCTATAAATTAATAATAAAATGACCGTACAATTGAAAATGGGCAGAAGACTTGGAAAGACATAATTCACCAAAGAAAATGTGTGACTGACCGATAAATACAATTTTTAAAACTAAAATACCATACATTGGAGAGGATACAGAATAACTGTAAATCTCTTACATTGCTAAGGGGAGTGAACATGATACAACCACTTTGGAGAACTATTTGGAGGAATCTTAAAAAATTTTAAGCACACATCTACCTTATTACTCAGCAGTTCCATTCCAAAGAATTTAAATAAGAGAAATTAAAACATCTCTCTAGGGCTTCCCTGGTGGCGCAGTGGTTGAGAGTCCGCCTGCCGATGCAGGGGACACGGGTTCGTGCCCCGGTCCGGAAAGATCCCACATGCCGCGGAGCGGCTGGGCCCGTGAGCCATGGCCGCTGAGCCTGCGCGTCCGGAGTCTGTGCTCCGCAACGGGAGAGGCCACGGCGGTGAGAGGCCCGCATACCACAAAAAAAAAAAAAAAAACAAAAAAAACCCATCTCTCTAGAAAGAGTGTCATAGCAGTTTTATTCATAATAGCTCAAAACCTGTAGGTAACTTGTTGCTTTTCCCTTGCTGCTGTTAAGAATCTCTCTTTATGTTTAATTTTTGTCATTCTAATTACAATGTGTCTTGGTGTGGACCTTTCAGGTTAATCCTGTTTGGGACTCTATGTGTACCTGGAAGTCTGTTTCCTTTCACAGGTTAGGGAAATTTTCAGCTATTGTGTCTTCACATATGTTCTCTGCCCCTTTTTCTCTCTCTCCTCCTTCTGGGACCCCTAAAATGAGAATGTTAGTATGCTTGATGTTGTCTCAGAGGTCTCTTAAACTGTCCTCAGTAATTTTTTTTTCTTTTTTTCTGTTCAGCATCAGTGACATCCACAGCTCTGTCTTCCAGTTCACTGATCCATTCCTCTGTATCATCTAATCTACTGTTGATTCCTTGTAGTGTATTTTTTTTTATTTCACTTATTGTATTATTCAGCTGTTTGGTGGTTCTTTATATTTCCTATCTCGTTGTCAAACTTCTCACTGTGTTCATCCATTCTTCTCCCAAGTTCTTTGAGCATCTTTGTGATCATTACCTTGAACTTTTTATTTGGAATTACTTATCTCTACTGCACTTAATTCTTCTTCCAGGGTTTTTATCTTTTTCCTTTGGAACATATTTCTCTGTCACCTCATTTTGCCTAATTTGCCGTTATTATTTCTATGTATTTGGTAGTTTGGTTATACTTCCCAATCTTGGTGAAGTGACCTTCTGTAGGAGACATCCTGTGGGTTCCAGAAGTGCACTCCTCTCTGGTCACCAGAGCTATATGCTCTAGGGTTGCCCCCTGTGTCAGCTGCGCGGGCCCTTCTGTTGTGGCAGGCTGAGAACTATGGATGGCCAGGTAGATGTGGCTGGCCCCCAGTCCTGTTGGCTGCCAGGCCCTACCTTGTGTGGAGGCTACTGGCCAGTGGTGGGTGGGGCCAGATCACGAGGCACCTGGCTATAGGTTCCAGGGTGTAGCAAAGCTGATGTTGGCCTGCTGGTGGATGGGGCTGTGTCAGGCTAGCTGCTTGATCTGAGTCTTCTCAGTACTGGTACCCACAGGATGGTGGGTCGGGACAGGTCCTATGCTGATAAGCTAGAGGAAGAATTCCACGATGGCACTTACCAGCACCAGTGTCCACGTGGTAGAACAAGCTCCCCAAAATAGCTGCTACCAGCATCTACGTCCCCAGGGTGAGCTCCAGTTGCCTCCTGCCTTTCTGGGTGACTCTCCAAGATCAGCAGGAAGGTCTGACCCAGGCTCCTTTCAGATTACTGCTTCTACCCTGGGTCCTGCAGTGTATGAGATTTTGTGTACACCCTTTAAGAGTGGATTCTCTTTCCCACAGCCCTCTCTCTTTCCCAAAAGTAAACCCTGCTTGCCTTCAAAGCTGAATATCCTGGAGGCTCATCTTCCTGATATAGGACCCTGAGCCCAAAGTGGGGCTCTGATCCTTCACTCTTTGGGGAGAACCTCTGCAATTGTAATTATCCTCCATCTATGGGTCACCCACCTGGGTATATGATGAGTCTTGACTATTACCACACCTCTGCCCCGCTTACCTGTCTCATTGTGGTTCTTTCTTTATATCTTTAGTTGTATAAGATCTTTTCTGCTAGATTCTGGTCTTTCTCATCAATAGTTACTCTGTAAATAGTTGTAATTTTAGTGTGCCCATGGGAGGGGGTGAGCTCAGGGCCTTCCTACTCCACCTTCTTGGCACACCTCCTTGGAAATAATCCAATTTTAATGTAAAGTAAATTGTGATACATTGAAGATGTCTGTTGTAATCCCTAGAGCAAACCACTTGAAAAATGCAAAAGCAAAAAACAAAACGAAAATACCCAAATAAGCCAGTAGATGAATTGAATGGTATAATAAAACCTTTTTGCTTTACATAAAAGAAATCAAGAAAGAAACAGATGATCAAAAAAGATACGAAACAAACAGAAGAAAAACAGGAAAGTGGCAACCCTAAATCAAACCATATCAGTACTTGGAAATGTGAATTGGGGACTAAACACTCCAATCAAATGTCGGAGATTGACAGACTGAATACAAAAGCAAAACCCAACTATGTCCTTCCTGTAAGAGATGCATTGTAAATACAGATACATGAAGGAAAGGTTGAAGGAGAAAGGATAGCAATGTTACCATGTGAGTAACCATGTATGTGATATATGCTAGATATGCATTATCTAGCATATTCTAAAAAAGGCAATACTATAGTGCAGAAGGGTGCAGTGCTTGCCTAGGTTTATATTTGGAGGAGAGGACTGACTCTAAAAGGCTACAAGGGAACTTGTTGGGGTGATGGAAATTCCCTGTGTTATGATTATGATGGTGCTCACACACCTATACACATTTGCCCATACTTATCAAACTTTACACATAAAATGGGTGAATTTTATCGTACATAAATTATACCTCAATATAGCTGTTAAAAAATTAGAAACCAATTTTGCCTGACTTCTTCCCTTTAATGACTCTCATGCCAGGTTGTTGCCTAGTGAGAAGTATTATTTCACTCAATCCATTCAAAAGGGAAAGAGTTGAGGAGAATAAAGTTGGCAGAAGAGCTTCTTTTCCCTGCTTTGGACTTTATATGTTTTCATGCTAATCCAAGTCAATTTAAGCTCAAAAATATGAACTATGAAATTCATCAGGAATTAGATTAACTTTCCTTTAATTTGTCTCATTCTGCTATAAATGGGCCTTATGTTTGGATGGCAGTACCAGTTAGAATATTCATTTATATTTTACTTTGAAAGTAGATTTTTAAATATATATTTCTGAATATGCATTGAGCCCTTATTATTTGATTCAATAATATATTATTTCATTAAGTGGAACACGAAAATGCAGCGTACCTTCATTTTACTATCTCTAAATTTTAAACTTACGTTTTTTGAAATGATGCTTTTAAATCTTTAATTTATTAAATTAGTCTCTAAAAATCTAGGATATATTTTATAATTATATTTCTTCTAGATATGAATGCATTTTTAATACAGATATATGTGCCTGTTTTTTTCAGGCCTGGTTGCAGTATGCTTGAAATTTGGGATGTGGAAGACCCTTCCAACTCAGCTAACCCTCCCTTATGTAGCGTCTTGCTCAAGGATGAGAGGCCGTACTTCACCACAGTGTTTCAGAATAGTATGTACAGAGTGTTAAAGGTTAACTGCTAATGAGACTACCCTTTACACTGTGGTGCAAAGAGGTGCATAAAAAACAATCACTTTAGTTTATTTACATTAATAAAATTCACAAGCTTTAATAAGGGACCCTTAAAAAGAAGATAATAAAAATGATTTAAATTTTTCTAATTGCTAAAAGGTAAATTATTTCATTGTTTTCCATTGAATGTCAGCCTTATTAAGCTTGTCATATAAATGAGTAAATCATCTTAAAGTTTTAAAGAAGAAAAATATATGTAAAAGAACAATGAAATTGAATAAATCAAGGATATGTAAGTCCTTTTGGTATCCCGCTAGGTGAATTGCTTCGGATTTTCCTTAGTTCCAGGATGTACCAGCTCAGACTCTTTAAACCACTTAGAAGAGACTAATGCAGTCTCTGAAATGACACTTCCTTAAGATCCTGATACTGATCACAACCTCTTTACCTCTGTGAGGAAATTTGTTTGTAACCATGTGTTTATTAAGGTTGTTTTTGCTTTTAGTAGCCCTCAGGAAAGATCTTTAATAGCTTTTAAAAACTTTTTTATCATTTCAGGTTAGATATTTTAAAAAACAGCTTATTTTGTAATGTTTTCAATCTCTTTAAATTTATTTGCGGAGCCAGATAAGTATTTTTCACTGATTAGTTCTCAATTTGAGTTCAACAGATTATTAATCTGTCTTTAGAATTCAGTGGTTTTTCTTTTACTATCCAAGTAAAATAAAAGTTGTTACAGTACACAGCCAAATGTAGGGGTTAAACATAATCAGAAATGAAAATCCAGTTAAATTTATCAAATGAAATTTGAAGATTCTAGATCTTGAATGAAGCAAAGGCATTCTCATCTTGAAGCCCTGTAAGCTCATTGGACATAGTCATTTTTTCTGGTCATCATCTTTCATAATTAATGTATTTTAAAGTCCTTTATTTATTTTTGGTTTTGGATGAGGACAGTAATGTTTTATAGATCGTCTCTCCCAGTATAAAACCTACCCGATAGTAGTGCTTTGAAAAGTGGTAAATAGTTATCTTGAAGATATTGTTGCCAAATGGAAAGATAAACACTCTCTTTCTCTGATTGATGGATGTTAAATATGCCATAGCTGTAGTATTTTAATGTGCATCTGCTTTAATCACCTTGAAATTTTTGTAATCCCCTGATTTTTTTGGACCTCTACATTTGAGATAACAAAATGACTAAATTCTGTAGATTAGTTCACTTACAGTAGGTAGAAGATTACATATATATAATATATACAGGAAAACCAATAAAATTTGTAACTTTTATACTTGTAAAATGTCTTCATACAAGATACAAAACAGCTAAGAAAGCATACCAAATTTTATATATATTTGCATTTTCAGATAATTTGTTTTGGCATAAGTATGGGGAAAAGAGAGAAAGGAGATACAACACCTAACATTCATAAAAATTAAAATAGATTTTGGATGACGTTTTCATAGGAAATATTTTAAAGAAGTTGGTAGAATATTTTTAAAAACTGTATTAGCTAATAAAATATGCAATACAAATATATTTATGTGGATTTATATATAGGGAAACCAATATAATTATTTTAAACTTTTTATAGTTGTAAAATATTTAATACAAATACAAAGCCACTAAGCCACTAAGAAAGCTTTATTTTAGCATTTTCAAATAATTCATTTTGGTGTAAGTGTGGGGCAAAGAAAGCAAAGAGCTATAACACCTAACATGAAATTAAAGTGACACATTTTGGATGATATTTTCATAGGCAACATTTTAAAGAAGTTGGTAGAATTTAACAACAAAAATTGATGAGCTGTATTAACTGAAACAAGTTTCATATAAATATAATGTATTAATATGAATTTATGTTATTTTCATGTGCTATATATGTTTTAAATTAAAAAAGCCCTTGAAGATTCTTTTGTGTGTTTTCTATCTTTCCTCATTCTTTACTAAACACACATTTTAAAATTGAAATCATTCTGATATGAAGGTAGAAATCATAGTTTCCTGGATGTATTGACCATGTTTACATTGGCAGTGATCTTTTTTGGCCATTTTAAAACAATTCTGTGGGGCTTCCTTGGTGGCGCAGTGGTTAAGAATCCGCCTGCCAATGCAGGGGACACGGGGTCAAGCCCTGGTCCGGGAAGATCCCACATGCTGCGGAGCAAATAAGCCCATGCACCACAACCACTGAGCCCCCGCGTGCCACAACTACTGAAGCCCGCACTCCTAGAGCCTGTGCTCCACAACGAAGAGAATATAGCCCCCGCTCACCACAACTAGAGAAAGCCTGTGCGCAGCAACAAAGACCCAATGCAGCCAAAAATAAATTAATTTTAAAAAATAAGCATACCGCACTACTGCTTACTCTTATATAAAGTATGCTATTAGATTCTTACCTGCATACATTTTATTGTTTATTCTTTTGAAATCTGAAAAACTATGCACAAATGCTGTGGGTTGAGTGATGGGTAGATTGTTCCTCAGTGCAAGGAAGCATTTTCCTTAGTTTCCTGTTGTCATATTTTTGCACGTTTATTTGAAATCATGGTAGAAGTGAGTTGTGCACAAGCTCAGCAATTCCCTCCATCATCGAGTTGTCAGAAGCTGGTGTACAGCTTCAATGAATAATATGTGTGTTGTACTCTTTTGCTGCTAATAGACACTATATCAAAAATCATTAAGTACTTTTCATTTTAATTTTAATAATAAAACTATGCTTATATTTTATATGTTTCTATTATACAAGCAATACAAACTCATTATGGAAAATTAGTTTTGAAAAAATCAGGAAATTTAAAAGAAGGGGAAAATATTCACCAGCCATTTAATATTTCTTTGTTTTCTTCCAACGTTTAGGCATAATTTTTTTCCTTCTTTTCCTCTTTTAACATAAACAGTTTTATGTTTTGTTCTTCATGTAGTAAACGTGGAAGTGTTACATATAGACTGTTTTTAATGGCTATGTAATATCCTATTTTGTATATAAATATATGCGTAGATACCTGTATCTTAGCCATTGTTTAGCTGTTTCCATTTTTGCTACTACATGGATGTATATATAGAACACTGCCATGCATATGTTAGTACATTAAGTTTTTTAATTTTCAAATTGTTTCTGTAGGGTATATTCCACAAAGTTAAATTTCAATAAGAGAATGTGGAGACCTTTAAAGCCTTCAATGCAGTTCGCCTCAGATTACCTCTGCAAAAGGATTGTATGCACCACCAAAAATCAGTGTATGATAATGCTCATCTCACAACACTCATTAGCATTGGTTAGCCTTATTAAAAATATTTTTTGCTAATTTGTGACACCCAAAATGGTATTATTATTATTTTTTTACATCTTTATTGGAGTATAATTGCTTTACAATGGTGTGTTAGTTTCTGCTTTATAACAAAGTGAATCAGTTATACATATACATATGTTCCCATATCTCTTCCCTCTTACATCTCCCTGTGCTATGCGGCTGCTTCCCACTAGCTACCTACCTTAACGTTTGGTAGTGTATATCTGTCCATGCCTCTCTCTCACTTTGTCACAGCTTACCCTTCCCCCTCCCCATATCCTCAAGTCCATTCTCTAGTAGGTCTGTGTCTTTATTCCTGTCTTACCCCTAGGTTCTTCATGACATTTTTTTTCTTAAATTCCATATATATGTGTTAGCATACAGTATTTGTCTTTCTCTTTCTGACTTACTTCACTCTGTATGACAGACTCTAGGTCTATCCACCTCATTACAAATAGCTCAATTTCGTTTCTTATTATGGCTGAGTAGTAGTCCATTGTATATATGTGCCACATCTTCTTTATCCATTCATCCAATGATGGGCATTTCGGTTGTTACCATCTCTGGGCTATTGTAAATAGAGCTGCAATGAACATTTTGGTACATGACTCTTTTTGAATTATGGTTTTCTCAGGGTATATGCCCAGTAGTGGGATTGCTGGGTCATATGGTAGTTCTATTTTTAGTTTTTTAAGGAACCTCCGTACTGTTCTCCATAGTGGCTGTACCAATTCATATTCCCACCAGCAGTGCAAGAGTGTCCCCTTTTCTCCACACCCTCTCCAGCATTTATTGTTTGTAGATTTTTTGATGATGGCCATTCTGACTGGTGTGAGATGATATCTCATTGTACTTTTGATTTGCATTTCTCTAATGATTGATGTTGAGCATTCTTTCATGTGTTTGTTGGCAGTCCATATCTTCTTTGGAGAAATGTCTATGTAGGTCTTTTGCCCATTTTTGGATTGGGTTGTTTGCTTTTTTGTTATTGAGCTGCATGAGCTGCTTGTAAATTTTGGAGATTAATCCTTTGTCAGTTGCTTCATTTGCAAATATTTTCTCCCATTCTGAGGCTTGTATTTTGGTCTTGTTTATGGCTTCCTTTGCTGTGCAAAAGCTTTGAAGTTTCATTAGGTCCCATTTGTTTATTTTTGTTTTTATTTCCATTTCTCTAGGAGGTGGGTCAAAAAGGATCTTGCTGTGATTTATGTCATAGAGTGTTCTGCCTGTGTTTTCCTCTAAGAGTTTGATAGTTTCTGGCCTTACATTTAGGTCTTTAATCCATTTTGAGCTTATTTTTGTATATGGTGTTAGGGAGTGATCTAATCTCATACTTTTACATGTAGCTGTCCAGTTTTCCCAGCACCGCTTATTGAAGAGGCTGTCCTTTCTCCACTGTACATTCCTGCCTCCCTTTTCAAAGATAAGGTGACCATATGTGCATGGGTTTATCTCTGGGCTTTCTGTCCTGTTCCATTGATCTATATTTCTGTTTTTGTGCCAGTACCATACTGTCTTGATTACTGTAGCTTTGTAGTATAGTCTGAAGTCAGGGAGCCTGATTCCTCCAGCTCCGTTTTTCGTTCTCAAGATTGCTTTGGCTCTTCGGGCTCTTTTGTGTTTCCATAAAAATTGTGAAATTTTTTATTCTAGTTCTGTGAAAAATGCCAGTGGTAGTTTGATAGGGATTGCATTGAATCTGTAGATTGCTTTGGGTAGTAGAGTCATTTTCACACTGTTGATTCTTCCAATCCAAGAACATGGTATATCGCTCCATCTATTTGTATCATCTTTAATTTCTTTCATCAGTGTCATAATTTTCTGCATACAGGTCTTTTGTCTCCTTAGGTAGGTTTATACCTAGATATTTTATTCTTTTTGTTGCAGTGGTAAATGGGAGTGTTTTCTTGATTTCACTTTCAGATTTTTCATCATTAGTGTATAGGAATGCCAGAGATTTCTGTGCATTAATTTTGTATCCTGCTACTTTACCAAATTCATTGATTAGCTCTAGTAGTTTTCTGGTAGCATCTTTAGGATTCTCTATGTATAGTATCATGTCATCTGCAAACAGTGACAGCTTTACTTCTTCTTTTCCGATTTGGATTCCTTTTATTTCCTTTTCTTCTCTCATTGCTGTGGCCAAAACTTCCAAAACTATGTTGAATAAGAGTGGTGAGAGTGGGCAACCTTGTCTTGTTCCTGATCTTAGTGGAAATGGTTTCAGTTTTTCACCACTGAGGATGATGTTGGCTGTGGGTTTGTCATATATGACCTTTATTATGTTGAAGAAAGTTCCCTCTATGCCTACGTTCTGCAGGGTTTTTATCATAAATGGGTGTTGAGTTTTGTCAAAAGCTTTCTCTGCATCTATTGAGATGATCATATGGTTTTTCTCCTTCAATTTGTTAATATGGTTTATCACATTGATTGATTTGCATATATTGAAGAATCCTTGCATTCCTGGAATAAACCCCATTTGATCATGGTGTATGATCCTTTTAATGTGCTGTTGGATTCTGTTTGCTAGTATTTTGTTGAGGATTTTTGCATCTGTGTTCATCAGTTCAAAGTTTTCTTTCTTTGTGACATCCTTGTCTGGTTTGGGTATCAAGGTGATGGTGGCCTCGTAGAATGAATTTGGGAGTGTTCCTCCCTCTGCTATATTTTGGAAGAGTTTGAGAAGGATAGGTGTTAGCTCTTCTCTAAATGTTTGATAGAATTCGCCTGTGAAGCCATCTGGTCTTGGGCTTTTGTTTGTTGGAAGATTTTTAATCACAGTTTCAATTTCAGTGCTTGTGATTGGTCTGTTCATATTTTCTGTTTCTTCCTGATTCAGTCTTGGCAGGTTGTGCATTTCTAAGAATTTGTCCATTTCTTCCAGGTTGTCCATTTCATTGGCATAGAGTTGCTTGTAGTAATCTCTCATGACCTTTTGTATTTCTGCAGTGTCAGTTGTTACTTCTCGTTTATCATTTCTAATTCTATTGATTTGAATCTTCTCCCTTTTTTTCTTGATGAGTCTGTCTAATAGTTTATCTATTTTGTTTATGTTCTCAAAGAACCAGCTTTTAGTTTTATTGATCTTTGCTATTGTTTCCTTCATCTCTTTTTCATT